TCAACTAAGTCAAAACATATTGACATTAAGTTCCTGGTTGTGAAAGAAAAGGTACAGACTGTACAGATATCCATAGAGCACATTGGGACAAACTCCATGATAGCTGATCCTCTTACTAAGGGACTGCCACCTAAGGTCTTTCATGAGCATACTGCTCATATGGGTGTGGTATTATTTAAGGATATTATGTTTTAGTGGGAGTTTGTAATTGTGGTGCTTTATGTTTGGTTGTATTGTCTAATCAGAATAAAGTATTCAGTTAAGACACTCTGTTACATTATGTTTGGTTTTGACCTCACTAAAGGAGGACCAGTTAAAAATAGACATGTACTGATCACATTGCATGTAATTTTCATGCTGCACATCCATGATTGATCTATGTCGTTTGATTGTATTGGTATATGTGATCATTGATGGGTTGAGTCACGATAAATGTGACGAATGCCGCTTTGGTCCTATATTGATATAGTCAATGGACGAGATTGTTCAGAAATACCTTTTCAGTGATAGCAATTTTTGAGCTCATAAGGTTATACACAATTTAAGGAATCATATGGTGCCCAAGTAGGAGATTGTTGGATTTAATCTAATAAATCTATTTGTGGGCACATATGATTAATCAATGTGTATTGCTATCTTTCAGGATAACCCACTAAAGTGATCAATTAAGTTGGGTTAATGGGTATTTAAATATAATCATGGGGTTATATGTGCAGATACCAGGTTGTAATTGTGATTTATTGAGGGGCTAAATTACAAAAGTACAACATCTATAAATAAGGGGTTATGGTCCCTAACCTAGGGTTACATTCTCTAATTCTCTACACCCCCATCTAGCTAGAGAAATTCGGATTTAGAGAAACCCTAAGGTTAGAAGATCCAAAACCTATCTCAAGGTTCATCCATGGATTCAGGTATAAGCTTCCGCTCTTTTAATTATTGTTAATATCTTCGAATTAATCATGGCTATATGGTTTTTTAGATCTCAAGTTTTGATTTAGATCTAACATGATGTAGAATTAATTTTGGGATCATTTCTTATGTTGATTCGTATGTGGGATTCATTTTACAGAGCTAAGAAGTGAGTGCAAGCTCTACAAAAGACAAGGTTTGTGCCACGTTTTCTTTGTTTCGCCCATTCTGCTTAATATATAGTTTGAAGAATAAATGGGCATAGGATAGAAGATTAAGGCCACTTTAGATAATGGTGCTATTAACAAGATGAGTAGTTTCAGTAACAACAATAATAACAGTAAAAAGTTGTAATCATTTTAGTTGATGGCTGAGCGAATTTTTTTGCTCATTGTTGAGAGTAGAAAGGGGACAAAAGGATTTTACCTGGATATTTAAATTTAGATGGATGTTTCCTTTGAAATTGAACCTTGCATGGGGTTTATATATAGAAATGCATGTTTTATGTTGTCTTTTTTCTTTCTTTCATAATAAAAGCATTACACACACACACATCATATATATATACTCTCTTTAAAAGTACGAGTTCGGAAAATCTTTTTTAGACAAATATACCCCTTTATAGTTTGAACTACCTTATCTATAATATTACCCTTCACTATTTTGAATATTTTATTTATATCTTAATCTATGCTAATCATAATCATATCTTATCCTAATCCTATGTGAACCATGTTTAGCTTAACAATTTAAAAAAACTAATATTAATAAAATATATAAAACATAAAAATGATATTAGTTTGTTAAGATAAAGAAATTACAAGTAGATAACATATTATAATACATGAAGTATTGCAAAAAAACCATAAAAAGTTTTAAAATTGCAGAAAAGACCCTAAAAAGTTCAAAATTATAAAAATCATCCCAATGTCTCAAAACTTAAAATAAAAAACATAAAATTAAAAAATTAACATAAGTTTGCAAAGAATTTAAAATTTACAGTTAACACCTCAATGTCTCAAAAATTATAGAAACACCCTCAAAAGTTTAAATTACAGACAAGCACATTAAAATTCTAAAATTTTAAAACTTACAAACAACACAGATGAATTCAAGAGATTACCATGATACACCTAAAAATTTTGATATTTAAATTTAAATTTTTTAATTAACACCCTTAATATCTCAAAAATTATAGAAACATCTTCAAAAATTCAAATTATAAAAAACCACCCTAAAATTCTAAAATTTGTAAATAACATAAGATGAATTCAAGATATTACCCTTAGACACCTAAAAAATTAAAATTTGCCGAAATTAACCTCAAAATTTTTAAAAACTTCTTCAAAATTTAAAAATTGTAAAAAAAACTCTAAATTTTCAAAATTTTTAACTAGCACACATCAAATTCGTCGATTGGTAGACCGCTAAAATTTAATAATTTTTAAAATTAATCTATAGTTTTAATAATTGAAAAAGATACCCTCAAAATTTTAGAGTTAAAAGAAATATACTAACATTTAAAAAATTACCACCAACACATGAAACATAGAATTTACAACTACCAAACTTAAAAGTAAATTTTTTTAAAAACTCTTTCAAATTTTTAAAAATTACAAATCACACCCTCAAAACTCAAAACCACAAAAATGGGATAAAATTTTAAAACTTGGTAAAGAAAAGTGTAATTGTTTGGTATTTTTCATATATATATATATATATATTAAAATTTCTAATTTAGGGATTTACTATCCATTTTCAGCATCTAAGAATAGTCTAAGTTGATACTGGTAAACAAAAACAATAAGAATTGATTAAAAACATCCGGTTAATGGATAAAATTTTTAAAAATATTATAGATTAAAAATTATCGGCACTATATAAATTAAAGTAATTTCATATAATTTTAGTAATAAGTTGGGGTAGCCAAAATACATTCGTAACATTAATTGATAGATGTTTAAATCCATAGAAATGATAAAACACTATAATATTATACCTTAGCATTAATTGATTTTAATTTAGAAACTTTAATCTTTGACGTTAATAATATTTATAGGGTAAAAGAATACAAGGAATTACATATGGAGAAACTATTAGAATATTTAGAGATAACTTTAAAAGAATTGAGTTATTTCCATTGCAAATGGGAAAGTGATGGAAATAAATCTAAAATTCAGAAAACGTCAATGAATCACTTGAATTGGCATTAACATAAGACATATCTATTAATGAAGCACTGAATGAGTTACATTAAAAAATAATTTAATAACTTTATCCTAATCAAAGAAAAAATCTTCATGGAAGACATAAGAAAAATTAGTAAGTATTCATAAATTCCATACTGTGTTCTTCAAATTAAATATTAATATTATAATCTAAGAGAAATTGGTAATGAATAATGCAGGTATTTAGTATAGATCTCTATGGAAAATGACAGGGATAGAGCAAAGGTAATATTATTGAAATAACAGAAATTTTTATTAGATGCACATCAGAAGAATTCATTTTAGAGGAAAATAAAGAGATAGCTTCTAATTTATTTAAGTAATAAATTAGAAACACAAATAGAAAAAAAATCAAAGTCTATATTTTGAGCAGTTTGTGTTGAACATCATAAGTACATTTGACTTCTTTGTAAAGTTAAATGAGATGATAAAAATTTAACGAGCATAGGAAAGATAATAAGCATAAAAATACAAAATTAGCCTGATATCACAATTGATGTAGATGATGAAGACAATACTCTAGAATTGCCAGAGAAATGATAAATGATAAACCTGAAGAATGATTGATCTTAACTCAATAAAAAATAAAATAGAAGAAATAAAAAACAATATTTTTTGAATATTTTATTGAATAGTTTAATTATTTTGAGTGAAAATAGGAATCTTTAGAAGGGAGTTTCATGAATTTTTTTAGTACTTTTATATTCTTATGTGGATGTTTTTATCATACTAGTTTTTATGCACGTGCAATGCACGTGGTTAAATATTAAAAATATTGTTTTATATTTATTTCATTACTTTAAATAAATGAGATTTATCTTGAGTTCAAATATGTATAATTGAATTAGAAGATTTATTAGTATTTTATTTAAATATTAAAAAAAATGTAAAGAAATTTAAGCTAAACTTAGATGAATATAAGTATCTGGGATATTGTAATTGCTTTTAATTTGGAACGGTTTATCACATCTCCTATCAAGTACACCTGCATTTTTTCTTAGAGTCATTTTTTTGGTAATGTCACTGTACCTTTTATTTGTATGGAGTCCCTTTTCTGATTCTTCTGAATATCAACATTTTTTTATTTTGTGTTAAAGGGAATTGTGAGACTTCTTTTTAACCCGCAGAAGAAGGCGGAGCAGGTGCTTTGCATATGATAAAGGAAGGTGCTCTTGAAGGTGTAGGAGCAATCTTTGGCATGCATGTTGATTACCAATTACCCACAGGATCTATATCTTCCCATCCGGGACCGACAAATGCTGTTGTATGCTTCTTTGAAGCTAAAATAGAGGGTAAAAGTGGAAATGCTGCGAGTCCTCATCTGAGTGTGGACTCGGTAGTTGCTACATCTTTTGCTATTCTGGCAATGCAACAACTTATTTCTAGAGAAGATGATCCTCACCATAGCCAAGTATGTTAGTATTTATGTTGGATCTCTATACCATCATTACATAAACAATTACTTTGGTCACTTTTTTGCGATCTATCAGGGTGTCTATCAAGGTGGTAGACAGTTCATCCTTTCTTCTTTTCCTTAAATATGTTAAACAATAAAATGTGATAGATTCTCATTCATATTTTAAAAGCTAGCCAATTGGCTAAAGAGGTCACCTTTATATCATAAATGATTGATCACATTCTGCGCTATTCATAGACAATAACAAAATATAGTAAAATGGTTAAATATCAAAGTGTAATTTTATGTGATGTAAGCAATCACATAAGCATACAAAACTACTAATAACTCTGCATGAAAATACCTTATAAAAATTCCTAATTGTAATAAAAAAATAAGTTGTTATATAAAATGATTAAAAAATATTGTTCTTGAAAATTTCTAATTGAACGAAGATCAATCTTTCTCCACCTTTATCTTTTTTCTGGGCAACTCTAGAGTAGCATCTTCATCATCTACGTCGATTGTAATATCAGACTGGAGTTGAATTTCTTGTGCTATTATATTGCCTTCGCCTCGTTCATCTTTTGTCTTTTCATCTAACTTCACCAGGAATTTGAATGTTTTTCCGATGTTCAAAACAAATTTTTGGAAATATGGACTCTGATTATTTTTCTGTTGCAATGAGAACAAATGTTATATATTAATACTTATGAATTTGTTTATTTTCTAATTTACTACTTGAATAGAGTTAGGAATTACCTCTTTCTTTTCTGTAATGAATGTTTCTGCTTTGCATCCAATAAGAGTTTCTGCTGCGTCAAAGAGTGTTACTCTTGCATTATCCGTGCCATTTTCCACGAGAATCTTAACTAAGTACCTGTATTTTTCATTGTTAATTTCTAAAGACAATTAGTATTGTATTTTAATATGTTCATGGCATTAAAAAAGATATATTACTTAACCTTGGTACTGAGTCATTAATGATTCTGCGACATTTGTCATTCAGACATCTTTACTAACATCTTTATCAACCTTCTTATCACAGCCTTTGCAAGCATAGAACCATGGCTCGAGCCTATTTAAAATAGTAGTTATCTTTGCCTTAAATGTGCAATACCGTGCCTGTATATTCACAAAGTTTAGTTAGATTTAAATTTGTAGATAAGAATATGTATATAATATTGTACCTGTATCGAATTCTGTGACTTATGCATAATATCACTAATATGAATTTCCTTGGCATTTTTAAAAAGCGTCGATGGAGATCCTTTGGCTTTTGCAGCTTCTTCCAATTGAAACCTGCATATTATATTAACAAATAATAATATTCCATTATTGGGTTATATGAAAGTATGCTTGTTTTGCTTACCATTCCCTTAATTCGCTAGCTAGTTCTATTTTTGGGTTGATGCAGAATGTTGAAATAATTTGCGACGATATGCTTGTATCCCCTGCAAAAATGAGAAAATTATAGGAGTAAATGTATGTTTAGCTATCTCTAATAAAAATTTCAGCAATAATTTATGTACCTTGATATATAGAGATTTTAAAATCTGTTAATGCTATTACAGGCTTATATTTGATTTCTGCTTCAAGAATTGATCCTTCATTTGTAGCTAAATCTCCAAATAAAGTTGCACGCATTGGCATTCCACTGCATATGAAAAAGAAAGAACGTTAATATTTTTTTCTCTTATGATATTGGAAATAAGTAACATGAATATACCTCATATCCATAAGCGTGATTTCCCTCCTAGTGTCTGGTTTGTTATGTCTTGTAATATAGTTGATCGCCGGCTTAACATTAGTTGTTATTGCAAGAATATCTGCAAGTGATTTGATAAAAAGATTATGATTCTATAGATTACTGTCTCATTTTGTATTGAAGATTTAAGTAAGAAGTTTGTAATTACTTACTAATAAGAAGTTTGTAATTACTTACTAATTTTTGTTGCATCTTTCATGGAAAATGCTTCTTCAAATGGGACAAAGTTGTTAAATATGTTATCCAAGTGGAATCCTGTTGGTGCTTCTTTGATCGATACGTCTTTTGTTAGTACTAATTCAAGTGACTTGTGGATACTTGGAAAAGCTGAGTTTATTCCTTTCACTTCTCCATTTGAAATGAAAATAATTTGATTTTTTTGAAGCATATCTATAAACTTTTCGATAGTATCTCCGTACATTACTGCTTGTATTTTGTTACCCTGCAAATATTATTAACACCAGAGATCAATGCATGGAAAATATAATTAATTAATACAAATCTATATACTATATGTAAACATGGAAACATCATAAAAAGCCATTCTGATAGTTATCAGTGTTTTAATGTAATTTACCGATTAGAAAATGAGATTTAGCAATATTCATATGATCAGATGTAACGTTGGGCAAACAATATAATATTTAAAATAATTTTATTTTACCTTTGCGTCTGCAAGAATTAGCTTTAGTATTTTCCCTGATCCTTTTGCATTTTTGTAAGTTGCCTCTGCACTTCGAAGTATGATAACATGAATGGTCCATTCCTTCTGAAACTTCTTGAGCTGGCTTATTTGGATGTGCTGGGTTTGTTCTTCAATACCGGTAATCATATTTTCTGTTAAATGGATTAAAATATACATGTTAGTTTTGAACAATATTATAGAATATAACATATCTTAGAAAATGAATTTATTAATTCTTGTTCCTCATAAGATTTTGAATATTTTTAACTGATAATATAGTTTGAGTGGGGTTAAAAAGTGAAAGCTAAAGGGAAAAAGTTATACAATATTGAAAATAATAAATTATAGGATTGAACATGAATGAACATACGCAATTATTCTTATAAATTAATTACCTTTAGAATAGCTATTGCGACTTTGAAGTTCATTTCATGTTTGTTGGCTGGAGGACTTCCTTGTATACTATATTTTTTGTGTATCTTTCATATTCTTTAAATTGTCCGTCTGATATTATTAGGACTTTGGTTGTTATCATTGAAGTCCCTCGTGATAAAGCAACATACAACTGTCCATGAGAGAAAACGTGTGTTTGTGGAAAATTTGCAGTAAAAGAAATAAAAGAAAATTGATTTGTATTCCTTTAATCTCAGTTATAATTGGATTTCCTGATTACAAAAGAGAAGAGAATGATCTGGATTCTCCCCTTTGTTTAAATCTGGGTTCTTCACGGTGGCGATGAGATGCCTCCCTCGAATGCTCGCGTCGAGTTTGCTTCTCGTTGACGATCCGATGTCTTGTTTCACTAGAACGTGGTCTTCTCCTCACGATTTGACGTTGTGGAGAACTCTGAACGAGTTTAAAACTCTATGAAAGAGTTGATTTAACCGAAAGTCGGTTATAAGCCAAGGATGAAGAAGATCTTGTTGCAGATCTCCCAAGCTCAAGAAATGCTCTAAGGATCCTGTTGACGAGCCAAGAAGTTCCAACAGACCGCCCCCCTGAACTGAATTGATTTTTAGTTATTTATAGGGGATTAAGGGGTGTAACTGTAGGCGTATAAAATTGCTTATCGGTCCCTTAGCACAGCTCGGCACAAACCGACGAACCATCGGGCGACGTATCCAAACACGAGCGTCAGTCCACAACGCCAAAGCCAAGTGACACACAACGAAGCGGATTAACGAGGATACGAAGCTGATGAACCGCACTCAAACAACGGAATGAATCCACTCGCGTGCGGAATCAAGCTAACGGGTTGAGGAATCAACGAGTCATCCAACCAAGAGCGGACTCAGACGAATCACGATCGAATCAAGATCAGTTTCGAACTCAAACTCAGAAGCGGATTTACTGCCTAATCAGGATCCGGATTTACTGCCAAATCAGGTCAACGAGTCAAGTCCAGATAAATCAACCACAGAACCGGATCACGGACAGAACCGAAAACGGAAAACGACGGAAAACAACGCCTAAGGGGGCTCGGCCGAAACCGAGCCACCTCTAGGTGGCTCATCTGTGCCCGGGCACAGTGAGGGTAGCCTATAAATAGGCCCTCCTTGGTTCATTTGAAAAGGTTGGATTTTTTTGGAGGCGAAGCCTTGCTAGATTCGAAGCTCAGATCTAAAAAAGATTCAAGCTTTGGGACTTTGAAGACTTGCTCATCCAGATCCGGTGCTCGGCGATCGTCAACGCCAAATAAGGCAAGAGTTCGAGAGGAACCGGATCTCAAATCGGATCTCAGATCTACGCAGGCATACTCCGGATCAAAGCTTGGTCTTTGATCCCGAGATTTGGGCGATTATTTCCTTGATGAAATAATCCTCCCCGGCTATTATTTCCTTCGTGAAATAATACCCGTCGTACTGCTCCGACCGGATCTAGATCTCAGTGGTGGTCCACGGATAAACCCTGGACGGCAGGCGAAGACCCAACGCAAGCGAGCGACCGCAAACAGGAGCTCGTGATTTGTTCGACACAAAAGGAGAAAGTTGTAATCTTTTTTTATTTTTCTTTGATTTTATTGTAACCGGATCTTACAAAAAGTCCGGATCTTTGTAACTCAAAAAGCTGTTATCTAAGATGACAATGGAATTAACAATGAAGAAAGACACGATTTTCACCGCGAACAATCTGGCGACCACAGTGGGAGCCGCCGATCTCGCTACCGAGATCGGAGCGTCGCAGCTGCGGATCTCAATCCCGGTCGTGGAGGAGGTCGAATACGAGTTCGACCAGCAGAAGTTTGAGGAATACTTGTCGTCCTCGTCTGGATCAACCTCCCCCCGCAAGTCCAAGAAACTCTCCTCCAGGAGAAAAACTCGTTGGTTTGAAGACGTTGAAAACACCAACGAAGATCTCACCCCGCTGGATGCCAAAGCCGCATCGGGTGAGATTCCTCCAATTCCCAACCAAGGCAGATCTGCTCTGACCAACCCTTCTGCCGCAGAGGGCGTGGTGACTCTCTCGAAGAGAGCCCACCAAAGGCAACGTCAACGCCTTGCGAAACAATTCGCAAAAGCCATGGAGTCAGTTGACGGGATCCGCTACAGTGCGGATCTGAAGAACAAGAGAGGCAAACAGCCTCAACAACTGAAGAAGCGGATTCACGAAACGCCGCCGGCTGTACTCATCGGAGCACGAAGCAAAAAATCTCTTTTATGCAAGAGAGGCCAAGAAGTTGGTAGGAGGAATAGAGTGGACCTAAAATCCTCACCAACCCGCCAAGTATGGAGGCCGAAGCAGCCTCCAACAAAAGTTCAACCACCGGCGAATCAACCCAAGTCGCCGATAATTCCAATAGCTTCTCCGGGAGATCATGCAGAATCATCCCGAAAGAAGAAGCTAGTTTTGGAGCGCCTTGGTCCAATTCATGATGAGAGAGGCAAAGCTCCAGTCCAAGAATGTTTGGGCCCGATGAAGAAGCCCCGAACGAATCAACATGATGGGGGTCGCCGCAACCCTCAACATGACAAAGAAATCATGGCACCCAAGCGCACTACCTTGCGCATTGAAGTCCAGGAGCCCGTTGAGAATTCACGCCCACGTCCAAAGAAGGTAATTCTCCCTCAGAAGGAAACGTTATCATCTGATGATGATTGCGTTATACCTGAGAAATCGTGCCAACACACGATAGGTTGCTCCGACTTTCAAACGGAAGAGCTGTACTATCGTGCTGGGGGTACGAGCAAAGCCAGAAAGAGGAGTCCTCGAAGGCTAGAAACTCAGTGCCCTTGTTCAAAGCTCATTCGGGCGGTACTGTCTGAGTGCAACTGCATCAAGGCAGTCCCCAAGAGAATTTCAGTGTTCGAAAGTCTTAGTACCGAAGCGCCAAAACCAAGGCATAGGCGTTTCCGACAAAGAAGAACGGTGGTTGAAGATGAAGAATTTCCGAGGGTCACCACTAACATGACCACCAGAGGGACATCGGCACAGGATAATCTCGAGTCAATTCTGAAAGCATCCCAGCGTATAACCCGTCTGCAGTCTGGAGCCATCAAACGAAAGACTTACGGTAGGGTTCGGACAAGGGTACCTTCAGAAGATGAAGAGTCGGATGCCGGTTCGGCAGTCGCATCTGACAACACAGTATCCAACGAGGGGCAACCCCGCGAGGCACTTATGATAAATGCAGAACAAGTGGCCAAGATGCTTGAAGAGGCCATGGCTAAACAACAGGAGGCCTTCAGGTTCGAAATACAGATGGCCATGCAGAACATGAGAGAAATGCATGAGCAACAAATTCAGTCATCAAGAAGAGGAGGATACGAATGCGGATGAAGCTCACAATGCCAATAATCCTCCCGTCAATGCAGGGGGTGGTAATGAGGATGCTAGTCGTAATGCCACACTTCCGCCTCAGAATCGTGCTAACGAAAACACAGGCGAAAGTCTGAAGATCAAGAACCTCGAGAGCAAAATCAACACATTGATCTCCGCTCAAGAGACGAAGAAAACAAGCATTCACTGTCCATACCCAAGAGAGTGGGAATCGATCCCATATCCGGCGAAGTTTAACCTAATTAACTTCACACCGTTTAATGGGATGGGTTCACCCACTCAACATTTGATTTACTTCAAATCACACTTGGGGGTTATTTCTGGTAATGAGCCTCTGATGGTGCGGTCATTCGTCGGCACTCTTCGCGGAGCCGCCTTCGATTGGTATCGCCGCATCAAGCCAGGTAGCATGAACAGCTGGGACGATATGGAGACTATGTTCCTCACCAATTTCTTCGACGACGACACCGAGATATCTATCGGATCATTGCTCGATGAGAAGCAGAAAGACGGGGAGTTAGTCGACACCTTCGTCAAAAGGTTCCGGAACAAGGCGATGAACTGTCGGGACCCGATCACCGAGGAATTCATTCTTCAGACCTGCCATAATAATCTGTCCTTGGACGTGTTGGAAGCAATGGGGATAGCACCGTCTAAAACGTGGAAGGATCTGAAGGTCCGAGGGGAGCAGGCTGAGCGATTCCTTAGGAGAAAGAAGGCGGAGAGAGGCCAACAGGCGACAAATGCTCCAGCACAGAATTTCAACCCAAGGGGGAAAGGTAAGGCACATGCTAATGCAGTTGATGCTAATCAAACTTTCCAATTGCAACCTCAGCAACAGCAACAGTAACAAGCGCCACAACAATCTCGGGGACAATGGCAACAACGGCCTCAGAAACAGAAATCTTCGGAACCGAGGTTTCCTAAGGTGTACTCCTTCAAGGATGACGAAGTTCCCGGCATCTTTAAGTACCTGTTGGAGAATAACAAAATCCAGCTGCCAGCGATCGTGGATCAAGAAGGGGCTAACAAAGTGACGGATCCGAAGTATTGCGCATACCATAGAGCGGTCCACCACCCTACCAAATCATGCTTCCACCTCAAGGATAAGATCCAGGCATTAATTGATGTGGGCGTCATAACCCCGAAGCCTGCCAAGAATGTGGGAGCAAATGCAGTGTCAATCAGCTTTGGATCGGTGCCCACGACATGGTTCGAGCCGAAACACGTCACCAAAGTGGGAATGAAGACGGTGAATGATGACCCACATGGACAGCGCCAAAAAGGATTTGTGCCACACACAGCCCCAAACGGCAAAATCCTCTGGGTTCATCCCGATCCCATTGAAGATGAACAGTGGGCGACTTCCT